TCCCCGTGTGGTGTCGGGATTTTATAGAATAGCACCACGGCGACCTCCCCCTGTGCGTAGAAGGCGACTAATACAGAGCAGCTGTCCGCTGTCACTCCCCTAACATCCGTCATTCCCACAAACTCTGAATGTGTCATCTGCTTCCACTTACTTGTGGCACACATCGTTTTCTGTCCATGTAGGCCTCCAATCTGATATCGGCCAAACTCTTGGTGTTTCCGCCCCAGACGCTATTAGGTTGCGGAGGCAGGAGTCGTTTCCAATTCTATCCTTCTTATCTAACTCTGCTTCTCTGTCCCCCCTTGTTCCTGTCCATTTCCTTAAGCTAGCCGGTAGCTCAAAAACGCTAGGGGAAGGTGACCTGAAGAAAAAACCCAAGATGGAGAGATCTGTCAGGAATCGGACAGTTACGGTGCAGCGGATCGGGCCCCAGTACCGGGCGGCGGTGGTGCGCAAGCAGGCCCACCTGGCGCGTCACCCAGCGACCTGCCAAGGCCAAGGGGTGCGGATCAACTCGGCCACCACTGGCAGATAGTGCTACGAGTGATAGCCAAGCTTCGCGGACTCCGTATGGAAGTCTGCGAAACTAGTTGACGGGAACCCTTTAAAAACCCTTCGTCAGAAAAAGCCCGGAGTTTCAATTGCCAAAGAAATGCAAGTTGAAAAATCAACAAACATATTGATGACCTGTATCAAGAACAACGCAGCATACTAAAGTACCTTACAGTAAAAAGAAACTGAAGAAAATTTCGATAAAGTGAGCCACGTTTAATAATAGAGAGGAGGTATTAGCACCTGCGCTGGATCTGCCGTAAAAGAACATACAGAAAAAACTCATCTGCGGACCTTGGTAGAAACAGTTAATGACCAATCAACGGCTAAAAAATATCTAGAATTGAAGAATAGGCACTATAGATGTTAGAGTAAGTGCTCACAGGCACACTGAATACCTGCAAAGGTGTGTTGTAGTTTTGCAGTGACTTACCTAAACATGCAGTGAAGAGGGAATAGTTCAAGAACTAAGCTTCTCAAGGGAGTCGATTGCCTGTTCGTAGCTAACAATTGAGACGGGAATGAGACATTAATTTCCATTCAGCGTCCCATGTACCATGCGTTCAAGCCGTTGTAGCGTTAACCAGAGAAGATAAAGCAGGCATTCATCGTCTAACCGTACGAATGTTACATTCCTCAACCAATGCAGTGTTATTCAATGTTACGATTTGGACACCAGCATCTAGATGTGCGATGAATGAAAGTTATGTCATTGTGGTAAGCCTTTCATAGTTGATGATCATGCCTAGATCCTATCAAATGCATTAATTCAGTGGACAACATTCTCGAGTCAAAAGGGACTAGCCCTATTAGAAGCAGGAGGCAGCAATTTCAACAGTTAAAGCCAGACAAAATCAGCTATACACTGAAGCAAAAAAAAACGTGAGTCCTGAAAATAAATATATTACATACGTGGAAGCAGTTACTAAAAACACAATTTACCTTCTTATAGTGAAGAACTAATGCCTGCAATAACCCGATGCATAGAAAAAGTACTTCCAGCGAAAATTCAACAAGAATAAAATCAACACAGAAAACTTAACCTCAAACACTCAAGTGAAAAAGTAAATGGAAAAGAATCGTCAGACCCCCACAAATAGGCAGAAAGTAACCAGTACTGCGCCTGCAGCCATACCCAGCAAAGAAGTATCGACAACAGGCTATACGAAGTCGATGCGGCCTCGTTCTCCTAAGAACACCGAGGACAACTTCTCAAACAAAAATGAAATCGATGACAATGATCACGACAACAAACACACTGGCATCTGAGGACAAGTTCGATGGTAAAGTTGCTGAAAAAAATGTTAAACCAATCCATCGATCTATGCAAAACTCCGCGTAAGAAGAGAAAAGAAGAAAGGAGTGGCCAAAAGGAAAACAAGAAAATAAACAAGATCTACGTAATTCTACAGCGAAAAAACGCCATTCCAACCATGGAAAAATATAAATTCAGTGGAATTATCAACGGCTGTATCTCGCATTACTGTGAGCTTAGAATCTCCTCCTAAAAAAAAAAAAAAAAAAAAAAAAAAAAAAAAAAAAAAAAATAATAATAATAATAATAGTAATAATAATAATAATAATAATAATAATAATAAACTTTAACACAATTGGAAATTTAGAATTAGCAAAGAATTTTCCTTCAAATGCTTGTTATAAATTTTTCATGTAGTATGAATTTGTTTGTGTTTGTCAAATAAACTTTCACTTTTTATCCCATAATATCTCTATAATAAGAAATAATAGGAACATGTAATTCAAAACGTGAAGGTTAACAATAAAAAGATCAGACACAAGCTCTTTCTTAAAAAATATAAGTATTTTATTGTTCTTTTTGGGTTTTTTCTTCTGTGTTTTTTAATAACGGTTTTCAATAAAATCAATTCCAATTTTTTAGTATTAGATAAAGCAAATATCTTTTTAATATTTCCAAGAAATTTTTAAAATTCACATTAATTTGCTACTTCATTAATTAAATGAAGCATTTCAATCTGAGTTTTGCATTTAAAACATCATCATCTTCATTTAATAAATATATACATTCAATCCATACTTTTGTGTTGATAACTTCATTTCTTGGTTCATAATGTTTGAAACTCTAGGAAATATATCTGCGTTCAGCCTGCAAATAACTATGCCACTGGTCTTGGTGCTGCAGTGGGGTAGATGCTAGGTCCACATTTAGCCTTGTGGTTCTGTACGATACACCTATGATCTGGAGAGCATGTCCAACCACAAGGACTTAAACATAAGCGATCACGGCATGCTTGGTTGTCTGGACACCCCACATCATCTGAAAATGAGGTTATGAGTAAGAATTAAGCAGCTTCAACAAGATTTCTGGGGTAATTGCCCTCCACATACTGAATTATTTTGTACTTATGTTTTCCTTATTTAATATTATCATTGGAAGAAATAGTTATGAAATAAAAGTTACTTTGGGGTCATTCGTAAATTACGTAATGCAAATTTGCTTATTTCCAGTAACCATTTTCAATAATCGTATTTCAAAATGCGTAATTTCAATACCCACTCACCCCCTTGTAACACACGGCTAATGCACACTTGAATCCCCCCTAAAAATTTATGTAATGCTTGCGACCCTTGCCCCTTTGTAAATGCAAGTGAAGATAAATTATAGCACTGTAAAACCAATTTGGATTTATTTTACTTGTGTTGAATATTAAAATTGATGATAAAATGATATTATAATTGATATTAGTTGGCGATCCTGGGTGCACCTAACAATAAGACTGGGGCAAGTTGTGAGTGAAGGAAGAATGCTTGGGAGAGAAATGCACACACCTTCACCATTGCCACAAGATGTGCACAGGCGCACCATCATGGATGATGCAAGTGCGTGTTTCTACTGCACCAATTTAAATGGATTCTAGAATATACTTGTTATCAGTTTTAAATATTTTCTTTGTAATCTTACAATTAACTAACACTTCCTACCCCTATGTAACACAGAGTAACGCTGCCTCAGACCCCTTCCCCCATCTTCAGCATTGCATAATTAAGTGCTTTGATTAGCTAAACTGTTACTAATGAAGGTGTTTACAAGAAATCAATCAATTTGGTTTCATGATTTTGGGTGCCAAACAATATCAATATCTTTCACAAAAATTTTGAATGATTACTGAAAAATTATTGTTTTCTTAAGAATGTACAAGGATTCTAGAACCCAAATTGAAATTTGAAAATTTTATCTTCCTTTATGTGACTAGAAAATGAGACTAGGTACTTGAAAGAGTTGATTGATCAGCAATTGTCTTTCCCAGTGTGAAATTTCAATGTTCAGGTAAGTATTATTTTGGTGGTCAAAATGCAAATTAGTTGATCCTTTTAATGCAATAAAACTATAAAGCCCTCAAAACAAATTATTTCCAGCTATCATAACTTTAGGAATTTTTGACTACTGTTTATTTAATTTCAAATAGTGTTGATTTTGCATTTATATTACACTTTGTTACATAGAGATAGGGGGTATTCCATAGTGTTATGTAATATTGACTTTTTTTTACATTTTTTAACATTTGTTGAAGTACTTCCTTTTTTCGTCACACTAAAACATGAAAATATTATCTAATTAATTTGTTTTAAAACAAAATTATTGTAAGTTATTGGAAGTTTTACTGAATGAATTAAATAAATACTCTTTTTTACTGACCTATAATTTATTTTCACTTTTTGCATTTACTTAGTGGGTGGGAGTTGTCGCAAACATTGAGTAATCATTATGGGAGTGTTCAATCACATGTTACAGAGGGAGAGGGGATATTCAAAATACTCCAAATTTGCATAACTTAATATATGGAAAGCACCTATTCACAATTACAGTTTAGACTAATTTTCAAAGAAAATGTAATTTATTCATTATCTCAATTGCATATATTGTAAGTAAGTAAAAATTAACCTATTAAAAGCTACTTTCAAATTAAGTCTAAATGCATATTCTTTCAAAGAAAACATCAAGTCAACTGAACATTACACCTGTAGCTCCCCTTGGATATCTTGTAGGAAATCTTGCTTGCACCACAGCTTATATTGGTAATTTAGATGGTATTTTAAGTGTTCAAGTGCCCAATTAACAAAGGTGAGTCTACTTTTTATAAATATTTTAACAGTATAATTTTATTTGAAGTACTATAAAAATTATTTCAACCATGAAATTAATATGGAGAAATAACTGATCGAAATTTTTACGATAGTGTCATAATAGGTGGAGGCTGAACAAAAATATTTCCCTACTTATGTGCCTGTTCTCAGAAAAGGATGATTGTGTTTTTCAGTGCAGAGCAATTTTCAATTTGTGATTATGTACTTTCTAAACAATTCTTTTCCCCCTGCAAAATCCTAATCAGCAATGAAAAAAAGGGACTCATTTAAATTTTCAAACTTCCCACTTTCCCTCCCATGCAATCCAGAGAAATAATGCATTGCGTAATAGCGTCTGAAGTACATTTTCAATTAAAGCTACACATATACTGTTGAATTCATTGTAAGAATGTTAAATTAATTCCAATGAAATTAAAAAAAAATCTTTGATATGAAAAAACAAAGGTCCCTAACATACACCTGCAGTGAATGTGTTTGAAAACAGTCAAGTACTTTATTGTGTGCTTATCCTCATGTACCTATCGCAAGCCACAACTCACATTTTGATACCTTGAAGTGCATTCTTGTTTCAATGTTATATGGATGCTTTCAACTTAAATAACTTTTTAAATTTTTTTTTCATATAAAAGTAGGTCACAAAAACATGATAAAAATGATTGTATTTGATTTTTTCATTTTTGAAAATTTGAATATGGCGCCAAAAATTATTCGTAATATGATTAGATTTTTGCCCTGAAAAGTAGTTTTCTGTAGAAGAGCGATTAACTTATGATGCGTTATATGCGTATAAATGACAAAGAAAAGAGTTATTTATTTTTTCAATAAGGTGCAGCAATAAGAAAATTCTGAAAAACTCATTAGAAAAGAACACCTGGTTTGTAGGAATGTTTTGGAGTGTCCCCTCACAAACAAAACAGAAAAGTATTGACTAATAATTTAATAATTAAAAAAAAAAATCAAGCTATATATCAACGTCAACTATGACTCATAATTTTTTCAGAATGTTTTTTTCAAGTAATGATATGAATAAAATAAAAAATAGAAAATTTGTATTTTTTCTGATATCTTGCAAAATATTGAGGCTGTGGGAAAATAAATTTCAAAATAACACTAAACATGCCCTCTATTCAAAATTGAATTACGCTTTTGGCATTTTTACCCCCCGCACCTTCTTTATCTCTAGAGTCTTTCCTGGAACGTCTAATCGGTGTTATTGTGGTGGTGCATTGATCCAACTGGCCCAGAGGGCTGACGCATACTTACTGATACATTCTGGATCACTTTCTAGGCGGCATTGCTTGAAAGGAGGCCGACCATAATAACCCGGACTACACACACACCGACGGCCCGTACTGGCACATTTGGCGTTGGGCCCGCATGTAGAGTCTCGACACTGCCCCGCTGTCAAAAAAAGTAAGGACATTTTTTCTCGGCAGATAGGGGTATTCCACAATGTAGCGTAGATGTCAGTGACATTGGAATCTGAACAGCATATCTTCCACATTGTTGATGTACATTAGAACTAGTGTATCCATTACAACGTGGATCAATGTGAAATTATGTGTAAAAGATAAAATACATTCTTTAAAAACGAGACGGATAAAATACAATTCAAATTATTCAATTCAGTAAAAAGAAACAACATTTATTTAGTTTGGGTAGGGCTAAAGCTACGATAATGCTGTAATATTTTATTTAAATTTATTATTGTGAAAATTTTGTAATTAAAATGATATTAACTAACATATTTCATTTCTATTATTGATGTTACCCTTCATATTTTTATATTGAATATTTATTTTGTTTCCATGATAAAGGCTATTAGTATAATATGAAAATACTACCTGCAATACATGCCAGAGACGCTATCACTAGAAGAGGAAGTAACAATCTTCGTCGAATGCTCATTTTAAATTTAAGCACTGCTCTCAGTGAACTTCAGATGCTTGATAGATGTCCTAGTGAAAAAGATACATGTTAATGTAATGCAGTGACTTATTTGACGTAAAAATGTTTTGGAATAGAATTTATTCTAGATCCCTAGTTTCGACGCGTCTTCTCATTAAAACACTCTTCACATTTCACACAATGCTTCGCGTTTAAGCTTCACCTTTTCTTTCAAGTGAGCCATTAGAAAACATAAATATTGAGCGAATTATAGCGGAATAGAGAGAGTGAAAGGGAGAGAGAGAAAGAGCGAGAAAGAGAAAGAGAGAGAAAGAGAGAGAAAGAGAGAGA